GTGAATCTCCCCCTGCCAACATAGCTGCACACGGTGTTAAGGGTCATCCCCCAAATAAAAGACTAGAACTGAAATCGAAGGCCAGTTTATTGTCATAGCAAGTACCAAAATAAAAAGGCTTTTAATTCAGTACATCAGAAGATCAAAGTCTGGACTGGTAAAACATTACTTTGCTCCTGCCACCAGTTCCCAGATGACTGCAGTGCTCTACGCCCATGTTTTCTCAGTTAGATGGTTTTAAAATTCAAACCTTCATTTCAAGCTTATCGATTACGGAAATTATGACAAAAGGTTAGTTAGAGAGATATACAGAATAAATTTACATGCAGTGAGAAATTTATTCTGGAAGGTTGAAGAAATTAAATATATAATGAAGAATCTGAACAAAAAAGCAACAATAAACTTTGACTTGTAAAAATTTGTATGATCTCAACTTTGTTTTTTCCTTAAATTCTTATTACAATTTGCTTAAATTGTAAGATTCTCTGTTGTCATCTCTCCTACTACAGTAATTAGTTTTCAATCATGAAGAATCATAAAGGTTCCCATGATGGTTTAAAAATTTGCATTTGAAATTAATAATACTGGTTACTCCTTTTTCTATATTTCCCCCCACAAAAGGAATACTTTAATAGTAATGTTTTCAATTAAAAAATTACTTAAGACCTATTTATTCCAAAATGTTGTTTTTCAGTAAAGTTACACAAAAGCATACTTTATAATACCATTTTGGTTTGTTTGGGTCTTTTCATTTGTGAAAATACACAACTAAAGAAGGTATTAGTTACTAAATGTAAATCTTAACATGAACGTAGAACAACCCCAAACAAATAAGATCACCCTCAAAAGTGTTAGGTACTATTACCTCATGCCTAAAGTTTTGCTATTCCCTGTTCATAACCTTCTGTAGAAGTGTATTTATAAAACTGAGTAATATTACAGCCCATCTATTGATGCAATTTTTTGACTGCTGTCTGGTCCACTGTAGGTTTGGAGATGAAACTTTTATTATAGAGCTCAAGCTTTTCCAACAAATACAAAGACAACTTATGGGAGATAGGATTTTTCTCCAGCAGTAACTGATGGTATCTTCTACTTTGAAATTTCAAATACGAATAGTCACCATCCCAAAAGTAAAAAAAGTAATAATAAAAAAAAAAGAAGTGAAAATACTGGAACCAGTGCTAGAAATTCAGATTTCTATCTTACTGTGCTTGCCTTATTTAAAAAAAAAAAAAAAGAAAAAGAAAGAATGCATACTTAAAACATTGAAGAGCGAAACCAAGTGTGGTAGGTAGCAAGCTTTGTGGCACTACATTGTAAATGCAATAGGCCAGTCCCTATATGTTAGCACTTATACTAACATAAAATAATACAAGTGTATGGCCTGCAATTTAAAATAGCAATTAATAAACAGGCTCTCCTGCCAGGTGACGGATGGATTAGGGGGAAAAAAGAAAAAAAAAAAACAAACACAGATGTTCTCTCTAGCCCTGAGCTTTTATCCCTTCAAAATTTTGCATACATGTAAAACAAAATCTGTTCTCTCTCTGCATCTGGTATGTGAAGAATTAGTGTTCTGCAGAGAAAGGTACACTGTATAGCATTGTTCTGAACAAAAGAGGAAATTTTCTCTTTACCTAGTCCAGACATAAGTTCCTGCCTTTGCCCTGTGACTTTTCAGCATGATGCTTTGTGTCCTTTTCTACTAGTAGATCTTCCTCTCTCAAGGTCTATTCTGAAAAAAACAATAATTCAGTCCCATTCATTTTAGCTTACCTGAACATCTTTTTTCTAATAAGACACTTTAAACACCAAAATCCAGCTGGTCTTGCAAATAGGCAGGTTATATAATGCGGGACTAGTCATTCAAGCAGTTACTAGCCAGCATGGCTAATTGCAAAAACAGGGTCTATGACACAAAAATCCTTTCCTTTCTAGTTTTTCTAAATGTAATGAGACCATGAGAAGTACCATGTTCCCAGTCTGATTTCACTGCCTAGTTAAGTCCAGTGAGATACTGCCAGGACACTGCATCCATACCTGGACCTCTGACATAGCAGATAAACTGCTAGCAAGAACTACAGAATACAGACTCCCCTTTAACCCTCCCCAAATATGACAAATGGAAAACAAACCAGTGTTAAGATGCAGAAAATGAATAGTTTGGGCCACTACCTCTGTGACACCTCGTCTAATGCTTAGATTATGCCCCCCAGGGTAAGTAGCTAACCTGCAACATTTCAGATGAACTTCTGTAACTCACTGTGCACGTGCTCTCAGCTGCCCTACAAAGGCAAAACACATTGGCTTAAACCTCAGTAAGAGATAGTTCCATGTGTTTGCTACACCTTACACTTAGGATGGGTCTGGAGCATACACACAGACTATTAGGAAAGTCACAGTGCCCTACAAAACAGGCAGTAACTTGCCATTTTGACAATGTCTGGGCCTTCAAGCAGACACGTGTAGTGTACAAAAGTCTAGCACCTTTTTAAAAAGGGGTTTGAAATAAAGTACTGGAAATTTCCCAAAAGAAAACAAATTGTAGCAGCAACCCCCCCCCCCCCCCCCCCCAACCCCCACCCTCCTTTACTTCCAACCGCCACCTCACTCCAAAATTAAGTACCTAGCTAAGCTGGCTGCAGAACAGATTGTCCAAAGATGTCTTCCACCTAGCCTCTCCAGAATAATTGGTCTATTTGTCCATCAACAGGGAGACTTGCATCTAGAGTACATATTTGGAGCTGGTTGCTTAGAAGTCACCAGAAAAAAAAAAACACCCTGTAAATACCAAAGTCCTTGCATCTAATTGTCATACAAAAGATTGACAGGATTAAGTCTGATTCGTCTCTTTCAATACAGGAAGGGGGAAAGAAAAAGGAACTTCCCAGTTCTCGTTTCTTTTGATATAAAACGAATAGAAATCTTGCAAGATCAGTTGATGTTATGAGGCAGTTTTGTGTCCTCAATGGTTCCTGCCCCATCGTCATCTTGGATTCCTTCTGCCAGTCCATTTGCAAATTTGGTCTGGCTTCCTCCATGGTCCATGAACATGTTGGGAATATCTTTGCCAAAATATATCTTGCTGTTCGCTGCAATAGCCTTGTATTTCATCAGCTGCAAATACTCAGGCGTTAACTTCAGCTGCACAAAAATAAAAAAGATCACCAACAGCTCAGATTTATTCAAATCCAAATTTCTGTCATAAGCACACAAGGAGTCCACTTTTCCAAAACACTAGCAGTTATGCTTATACTTTTTCCAAATTAAAAGACGGAGTATCTAGAAGAAGGTTCTCTTTCAAGCCAATATAAGCCAAGCTCTAAATCTCAGTGACTAAATGGCAAAATCAGAAACTGATGGAAGCAGCTGAGCGAGTATTCAATCCAAACGTACCACAGAGACGGAGATGCTCTAAAGCACATAATTCACTGAAAGCTCTTGCAATGCAAGCTAATGGAAAGAAAAATACAACCGGCTTTTTCTCCTCCCCCACAGAGCAGACTGAAGCATCTGTTTTGGAGAGCAGAGCTCAGTCTTTCAAGATAATGGCACTGTAACAGAAAGAATGGAATAACTGGGACAAAACTTGTGCACAAACATCTCGGACCTCTGTCCATTCTCACTGACCCTTACAAAACAAGGTCTTCCCGCCAGGACGTCCGGGGAACTTGCTGCAGGCGATAACAAGCCTGACAGTTCTATCCATATAATTTCTCTATTTCTAGGGTTTTTTTTTTTCCAGCAGGGACAAGGCTTTGCCAGGCTAATTAGATTGGTGGATTAAAGCAGCCCTGTTTGTTTGTTGCCGAACGCTTGTCTACTCTAAATGTATCTGTCACTCTAGAGATTTCCCTGCTCGCCAGCTTGCAGATTGAAACAGATCAACATTTCTGAGGATAACAGCGTGAAAGGGCAACACCGAAACTGATATTCTATCTACAGAGGGAGCCATGGCCCCTTTAGCATCTAGCAGAGCTGTCTCCCGAGATGACCAGATATTTCATGTATCCTGACATAAATTTATCTGTCTAGAAAAGAAAATGAATCTGCAAATAAGAATACAATTGTTGTTTCATTCCCAAAGACAAATTTTCTGAGGGGAGCTTGCTTCGTTTTGCTTTTCAATTTAAACAATCAGATACAATAAGCAAACAACAAACACAGGCTGCCCTTTTGCTAAGTGCTTCTGTACAGCCTAACATAAAGAGCCCTGCTTCAGCCACAGCATAAGGAAACATCAATACCTTGTTAGCCTCGGCTACTTTCATAGCAGTATAGCATTCAGCATCAGCTCTTGCCTTCTCTCTTGCAAGAAATGCAGCATCTGGAAAAAAACAAAACAAAACACATGCTCCCACACTCAGATTCTTATTTCCAGCCACATTAGTACCATTTGCAGCCGGGAAATTTTTTAAGTAGTCAGTACCACAGCTAAACTGTAAAGGATACATACAACAAGGGGAAGAGGGAACAAAATGGGAAACTCAGAAATGGGATCTTTCCTTACTTTTCCTTTCTAAAATACTGCAGGATGATATTATAAAATAAGTTGTATCTGTGACTGAACACCCCGAAACATTTTATAAAGATAGGTTTCTTATTACTGCTCTTGTCACACAGGCTGAGAACACTCTCTTCTTTCTTCTCTAGCCAGCCACTAAACTCTTGTGCTGAAAACACAGCAACTGTTTCATTACAAAAGTGGTATTTACCCACGACATTTGCACAGGACTCCAAGAACAGCATGTCAGACTGATCCACAGATGAAGTCTGTGGCAGTGAATGCAATTCCCCAGATGGGAATTTGTCTGGGATATTAAGGTTAAGATTCTGGCATGTAGAGCCAGGAAATTTTAACCTTTACAGACTCAGCCCCTTGGAGAGATGTCAGAGAGCTGTTTCTCTGCAATATCAACAACTGTGCAAAGAGTCTGATCCTGCAGGATACTGAATCTCCTTGACTCCTAGGGTAGAAGCATAGACAAGGAAAAAACAAAGACATTTAAGAAAAGAAATACTTCCTCTTTCTGTATCCCAGTCTGCCCCCCCC